CATGTCTGGTGACGAAGCCAGGGTTATATAAATAGAACAGGTGGGATACAAAGATCAATGTGGTCTCAGGGGTCGACCGGGCCGGGTGGAGCCGGTCTCATCTGCCGGACTTGGTGCTGCTGCAATGAACGGTGTGATGTGATGTGTTGTGTTGTGTTGTGATGTGATGTGATGTGATGTGTTGTGATGTGATGTGATGTGATGTGATGTGATGTGATGTGATGTGATGTGATGTGATGTGTTGTGTTGTGTTGTGTTGTGATGTGATGTGATGTGATGTGATGTGATGTGATGTGATGTGATGTGATGTGTTGTGTTGTGTTGTGATGTGATGTGATGTGATGTGATGTGATGTGATGTGAGTGATGTGATGTGTACGTGTTGTGTTGTGTTGTGTTGCGTTGCGTTGCGTTGCGTTGTGTTGTGTTGCGTTGTGTTGTGTTGTGCTGCGTTGCGTTGCGTTGTGTTGAATGGAAGTGTCTGGAGCTAGACTGTGAACGTATACACGCACCAAAACAGTATTGAAAGCCCACCTTTCGGTACAAACAGCATACACAAGGAGGTTCTATTACAATTCTGGATAATACATAACATAACTAAGTGATGGACCAGGCGTGATGGTTCGTTTATTTATTAGCGCTGTTTGTGACTTCCAGCTGTATGGTTTTTCGGAGTGGATGCAAAAGAATTTGCACCGTTCAGGCGGATGGTGACCCAGCCGTATACGTACATGACCATACATCATATAGCTCTGGGGAGTCCTCTCGACTGTCAAGTTTGGAATTGTGGATGTCAGAGGTCGAGTAAAGAATGTACAACCCGGGAGACAAATTTTTATACAGTCGTAAATAGGCATGTAAATGGAGCATAGTTTGCTGTACGGCCGAGATAACGTAGTTGTCGACATGGGGCAAACAGAGTACATCCCCTGCCACGCTTAGTTGTAAGCCATATTTCCCCACAAAATGTCACAGCTCTTCTGATGATGGCACACCGAGGAACAGGGGAGTTGTCAACATACTTTCACGAGATGTTCTTCAATGGACGTTGACATGTGACCAGTTCTTTTTTTCGGCTTGGTCAACCAAGGAGAAACAATTCATATGCATGGCAACGAAACAAACCGTATCATGAAATATAAAGAAGTCGATATGAATAGGATTGCTTGGAGCACTTGCAATATTGTTGAAGATTTGCTATCTAAGGGTAAGGTTCTTTTCTACTGAAGAATATAAGTAGGTATTTTGTACTAATGCGACTTACTCACGTTTTTGAAACCATACATAAACTTTCGAATTGAATGTCAAGGACCAAACGTAAAGGCTTTGGCTCTGAAACAGTGCCTCCTTTCGTGTGGACCAATAACAGGCAGCTTCGCAAATTGCAGCTGTTTGGTGGGTCTTTCTAATAAGACTGCAGGCTTAGTGTGTCGCATTTTGTGATTTATAGCGTTAATTCTCACACTGCAATATAATATTTGAAATGACTTGATACAAATCCGACAATGATCCGACAATGATCTGTGCCAATATGGTTTCTCATTACGACGGAGTAGATTAGAGATAGTCAAAAGTTTTGCAGGATGATCAAAAAACGTCTTTGACATACGACGTGTTTGATTGCTACCTTTGTAAATGGAAAGCTATACTTTTAAAGTTATGTGTTTCTATATTAAACATAATATCCAAGTGGAATGATAACTTACCGTAACATAGGGTTATATAGATAAACTCGCCCGAAAACCCACGGGGTTACGTGTAAAAATAATGCAATGTGCAGCTTACAAACCTGTGGATTGATATTCCGTTACATACATTTGAATTATGAGATGATACAACATGCAATTAAGAGGATTTATTTCTGAATTTGTCATCGTTAGAATCAATATCACACCATGCATGCCAAGTCTTCACACTTCATCACCTTATGAACTTATGATAATCACTGAGACGAGCCTGGTGATAAACAGTTACTGTAGTTCATTCATCTCACACTTAGTTGCATTCTCACACACTTTCGTTAATTCGTTCAATCACTCAAATTTTTATCAAGGCACGCAAAGTAAAAGGATTTTTATCAAGCCCCAAAGGCAAATCATTATTTTGGACAGGCACCTCAGCAAATGTCGTTACCGTGCTGGAGTAATGGCCTTCTTACGTACATCCGCTCTGGGTACAATCAACCAATCCCTGGAGGGGCCTGATGAGGGTCACTTGTACATATACTTGTACTTGCAACAAGTTCAGATTCCCCCTGACAAATGTCATTTGGGCGTGGAGCGTTAACGGAAACGATAACATGTTCACTTACTCTCATCCCGCTTGCGTATGTGTGATGCTAACTCAGGAGAACAAGTTTATCTTCAGAAACCTTGCAGCCCCGTGCTTCGTCATCTTTGAGCTCTCTTTGACTTCTTTTCTGGAACATCCGATGTTCTTTTTCTAAGAAAGTACTAACAGTTACGTGGAAATGGCAACCAATGGCTGATTTATAGTCTATTTAACCGATTTACTGACGCGCTTCCAGCTTGTGTAACGTATGTACAATGAGGATCCGGAAACGTGTTCCTATCACAGTAAATCACGCTGCTTTACTGGGTACATCAGTATGGCAGCACTTTCTTCACGCTCACATGACTGCCGTGCAGTACCGGTAAGATAAAAGTAATAAACACCGCAGGCTGAAGGTCGTCATAATGAATGGCGATTGGTGGATAAGCAGGCATGATGAGACTCTATCAACACTTCAATCGCGTTTTTCACCGCTCAAGGCGATTCCTCGTATCGACTCAGTCCCCGCAATTCCGTCGTAATAAGAGCCTGTGGGGTGTCGGCGCAGCTGCTCACAACACAGGCTGTTAGGTCCGCAGATCTGTTAGTTTTTGAACGAGCTAGAAGATGAGCAATTACCACACACGTTACGTTCGTATTCCGGGAAGGCCAGGCTATCACCACAGATGAGAAACACCACCGACACCCAAGTTTTAGCACCGGCAATGGAATTCTTACAAGACCGTTACGATGCATGTCTTTATGGTATTATTCCGTTGAGAAAAGAAGAACGTGCACGATACCTACTGTACGCTGTCCATATAGATGTAACGTTAGCCTTAAGCTTGGTTTGGCTCTTGAACAAGACACTTCATCAGATACGCACCAAGTTCTAGAAATCCCACGGATCTCTTGGGCAGCTCCACCGGTGCCGATAGAATTTTCAGAAGTTCCACAGTCATCCCAGTTTCTTAATTATCAAACACGAAGAGCAACGCGCTTTTGCCCTTTGTCTACAGAAACACTGAATTAAAAATGACACCGAGATAATTAGAATGAATGTTTCTCTCTCTCGCTTTGGCACACTTGGTATTAAATTCTTGTATTGTCAATGGTGCAAGTGAACTGCATCCTCACCATCATGATGATTTATTTGCACAAGAGCAACTTTTACCATAATTGGTCCTTCAATTATACATGTACTCAGTAATATCCCTAAAGCAGTAGGCTAATCTGTTCTAGAGGGGGTTATTGGAATGGAAGTTTGATTTTGCCTTTGGTGACTTTGGTACTAGTATCCATATTAAAAACCATGTTTACGACCGTGACATTCACTTCGACTGTAGTAATATGGTAACCTTGCCTTTGGCACTCTATCTCCTAGAGTTCTTGGCAAAGTTCGGATGTAATAGTTATGTAGTATGTGCTGTATGCACCCAGAAAATGAGACACGTACATGGTGTTTTGAACACTATTAACTATTTCGTTCGTGTCGCATATTGTTTCTGTGATTATCACCTCAGGACTATAGGATGGGATATATCTTAGCTACAATGGTACCCAAGACGAATATCAGTATTAGTATTAGAACACATTTGGGTCAAGCCATCGCACTGAAAACTGTCCTGCAGCTGGAAACGCACTGAGTAACATCAAAAGCAAGAAGTTGGTTAGAAAACACCAAACTCCTACATGTACGAAAGGGTTTTGTCATATTGGATCCGAGACAATCCTTGGAAAAATAGCAACTTGATTGGTAGATTGGTTAAGTGGGCGTGACACTTTATCGATCAAGCGTTAATCGATATTGATTCCTTGTTTCCTTAAAATTCACGACGCCTACCTACTGGGACCTCGTAATTACACATGGTTTAACAATACATATGATGTCAATTAGACATTTCGGGCGCTAATTTAGCTCAGGTTTTCAAATGTCAAAAAAGGTTAGCTTTAAAACTATTCCAACCATATATATTCTATTTGATGTCAACGTCGAAGTTAATGGTAGAAGCTAGCAACAAGGTATACTGTACCATAAAAATACCATGGAATGGATAAAATTTAAGCTTGATGTATTTTACCACCTCATATGTAGTCAAACGCGATAGGCAGGTTGCAGTGTTATCAAAATCCCCACCAGCCCCAAAAGTGTTGTAAAAGACGCTGGAACAGCACAGCCATGCCCATTCAAGAATCATGCCGCTGTGGCGATAACTTGTTTGAAAGCGCAAGTACGTGAAGTGATTCTCTAACTATGTATTATTCACTGGCACGCTTGGAATATTCTTTAAGAACTTTAGGGTTTGTTTTGACAGATGAGAAAACACTCTTTGTCAAAGTCAGACTTTGTGTTTTAACACATAACTGATTTGTTACGGCAATTAAAAGGTATATAACGCTTCTGTACTTCACTCGGTACTGAACAATCTTTCAGCACAAATCTCAGCGGAAAAAATCAGCCCCCGGCTGTCTACAGAAGGTAGGCGGTGATTTGAAGGTTGAGACATTGCTTGCGGCATTTTATGCATCGCGGTGATTGGTAAGTTCGTATGTGCTGTAAAGCAGTTGTTAACTATCCCCATAAAACTATGCCGGGGGAAGGATGATTTGTGTAGCAAGTCTGTGTGAAACACAGAGTGTCGCCTTCAGACTTTTTTATTGAGTGGAGACTGCTGCCGTTTTAAATACAGTATGCTACATGTGTAGTCTTGAAGATAGCTCATACCGACTAGACATGTCATCAAATGACCCGACATGTCAACATATACCTCATCGTAAGTAGTGCCGGCGATCGAAAAAGCCAAAAGGTATTATTGGTCTGAGAGAACATGCATCAGATAACTAGTAGGTACTATATGCGATAAAAGTAGGGCAAACAGGTGGCATGAGAACTTTTTGATACTCAAAAAGATTGGTACAATGTACATATTTATACTCAATTACCGCTGTCATACATTTACTCTCACTTGCTCTTTGACAACATTCTGTCAAATTTCAAAACATCCTATTACAAGATCCGTTGTAGAATAGTGCTAACAGCATACCACTGCAGAGCAGTGGAACACAAGTAGAAGAGGTGGATGGACAACATCCACCACGGGCTAAACGTTATCTCCACAGCTTCATCTGTCGTTCTGACCCCTGGCCGTGCGGTGCCTGCAGGGAAGCGGCCTGTGGAGTAGAAGTGGGACAGAAGTTCTTCCTTCTCCGCAAACCGCTCGTACAGCCACTCGGTCAGGCCCGGCTCGTCACGGGGCACCTCGGAACTTGGGAAATGTCTGCATGGGACAGTTAGAAATGTTTACAAGGACGCAATCATTACATTGACGCACTGTGTGCTCATATTGCGTAGGCTTTTAAGGATTTTACAGCAAAGTAGCTGGATAATGCCTGACCATAACCTTGCCCAGTGCCATTGCCTGTTACCCTGATGCCCCATTTGCAGACAGAACCACATATAACCCTTATATAGCATAACTTACAGCATTGTGTAAACTTACAACGACAGGCAACGTTAACAAAGACCAATATTCCCCATTTAAGGACCAGACGTGTACCTGTAGTGCAGTGTAGTGGGATATGGCGCCCTCCATCCTGACGTTAGGGTCTGTATATCCAGCGGCTTGCCGTGCTCATAGCCAATGGTGATGTCTACAATCCACTTCACATGACCTTTGACGAGAAGAGATGTTTAAACAGTTTACATCATGCCATTTCATTTTCCACTGCCTGCAAAGAAGAAGTCAAACCCAAAACCAATCAATATAGAATCTTACAGTAGATTATTAGACACATTGCTGTATATTCACATACGTTATCATTTTATTAACTGCAATCAGCCGTCGGATACGATTTTTGTTAAATATTATCAATAATTGATTATCATTACCGGTGGGATCTGTATTTATAACCGTGCCAACGTCAACATGTAGCAATAAAAAATGTTTTATCGACATCGGATACGATTTTTGTTAAATATTATCAATAATTCATTATCATTACCGGTGGGATCTGTATTTATAACCGTGCCAACGTTGACATGTACCCATTGAAAAAAAATATTTTATCGACATTTTTGTGGACGTTTCTCGTAGTTATTTCCTTCTCGACAAGTCAGGAGCAGAGACCATACATTGTCAAATTTACCCTTTGTATGCACAGTACCATTGATGTGTTGTGCCCCGTGTGTGGGGGTGAGAGGTGGCCCTACACTGTCCAGTATGGTCTTCATCGCTCCTGTTCTGGGGAGAACCACGTGCTGTAGGAAAGGGAGGTTGTTCTTCCTTGCGTACCTGTGAGGGTACATGGATTGAGGGCTTAGAAAGACAGGCACGATTTGGTTTATAATATTTTTGGGACAAAAATGAAATTGGCGAGACTGTCTATCACACGATGCATAGATGCTAGTCTGGAATGCGAGAAAAACAATAAATGAGCTGATCATCTTGTTCTTAGCCTTGATTGGCTAGCTAGATGACAAATACATGGTCTCACTTCTGACTCCTCTCTCGTCTCTTCCGCAGAAATCCCCCTTCTGGGAACAGAACGATCCACTGATGATTCCTGCTGAAATATCTGGTGTTGAGATGATCCTTCAGAGACTCCAGCATGGTCTTGCGATACTTCTGCCCCTGTATCAAGGTAAACATGATGTCATCTTTGACCTTCATAAAAGACTACAGGGGTCTCCCTAGAAATTCTTAGAGGAGAGGTGCTCCCTAATCGGTTGATGAAAAATCAGTGAATTTTCATTACAAATACCAAGGGAAACCTCTAAATTTGAACATTTTGGGAGGGGTGCTAGGATTTCAAATAGGGAGAAGGGGGACATCCTTTAGCTTGCTTCAGTGCTCGGGGAGAGCCCTGATAATTAGTCTGAAGCCAGGGGCAGCTTTAGACCACTGAAGGTGCAAGTAACATGCCAAGTATACCTGCTGCAGAAAGAAGTCGCCATGCACCCATGAACACAGTCCGAAGTTCGTGTAGAGGAGGATGTAGTCCATGATCCACATCATGCGCTTGACCACCGGACCCTTGTGCTGCAGGGCTCCCATGAGCGTGGCCACGTCAGCCGTGGACTGGTGGTTCACTATCACTATAGCCTCGTCTCTGTAGGTGTGAGAGATGTCCTCTCCACACTCGTACACTGCAAATACAAGATGAAAATACAAGTGATAAAGTAGCAAAATGGAAGGGTACAACGCAGTTTGTAACAATTGATGAGCCAAAAGCGTACATCAACTGAGAGGAAAGGTTAATGCAACTTGCTAGTCTATGAGTATCTTTGATTCAATCATTAATGTTTATGCATAAAAGCAATGATAAGATTTATTAGCCTAAGAGCCGTTGACTATGGGTTAATAGGTTACATTGGCAACTCTAACATTATGCACGTGGTACATGTACCAAGAGGTATACTCACCTTTATATCCAGCACTGTACCCCCACCAGCCGATCTGTGCCGACATCCACTTGATCATGGTGCCCTCCAGTTCCCAGAATAGTTCAGGTCTGGCTATTCGCACGGGCTGCAGACACAGGATCCACACAAAGTGTGCAGGGACCACGTACAGGTTGTTGACTAAGACGAACGCCACTCGCAGAGCAATCATCAGCAGGTACCAGGTCTGTGACACCAGCCATAGCAGCCGGGTGGCCACGCTACCGTGTCCCATTCTGCTCAGGAAGAAAACAGACAAGCATTGAACCGAAGTGTATAAGCTACGTATGCTAGCTACAGTTCATTCGAGTGGAAACGCCATGAACGGCCTTGGATTTAAATAAGCATATTGTGTTGTACACTATGTCCTAAGAAACTATGTATCAGAAAGTTATCGTCTGGTATCATTAGCCGTATCAAAAGTCACAAAAACTAATAAATTAGGGCACCTATATTATCCAAAATTTCTCAGCTGTCTCAGGAATCAATGAAAACATACCTGTCTGCATATACCGTCTATCGTGTAGAGCAATGCGTTATGATGCTACACCCAGTTTAACACGCACACATGCTGGCATCAGGCAGACAGACATTGGGGTTACCTTCCGTGGGTTTTCTGTTACACAGAGGCGAAGCTCGTGTGACAAATATAGCCGGTATACTGTCACCTGACGGATACGTTGTCTGCGGGCAAAACAGGTTTTGTCACTTTCATCTATCGTATATCACGGCGAAACGAAGTCCGTGCAGATCGACTCTTTGCCTTCGCCTATTCAGACACTCAAGCTCTTTATAATGTGATTTTCCTGACTACATTCAATTACAGAGGATTTTAGTGCAGAGACGTCTACGGCAAAATTCCATAGTATAGGTCTGGCTGTGCTGGTGTGGTGAACATGTCGCAGGCGTTACACTTGGATGGGTGCGACAAATCAAATCAGCCTTGAAATCACTAATTGTCACTGCGCCGTTGAATTGACAGGGATGTACACTGAGGTCATTTTGTCTTGCCACGATTTGTTGTGTAACATATGGCCTGGTGACTAAAAAGGCAAGCGGCCACACATTATAGGCTTCACGTTAACGTCAACGTTTGAACAGCGAGACCACAAAAATGCAATCCGGGATGAAGGTTTGTTGTATGGTCACACTGAATCAGCTCTGACGTTTACTGATAATGTATTATCGATCAGAAATTTCAGCAAAGATTCAATGTACGTTAGAAACTTTTATCACGTATACCTTATTGGGTATTTGGTTAAAGCCAAAACAGCACAGATACATCAACTTTATCATCTCCAAACTTGATGTGAAAAATACAGGTAGATAGCTTTCCACTTTCTTTTTTCTTCATGCCAATGTCTTCAAATCAGCGCCAGTCATGTTTTAATTTCTTGACTATTTGAACTCGGTTCACTATGCTTAAGACTACCGACACCAATTTTATGAAGCCATTTGTAGGGTTTGTAGGCTCATGTGTCCTGGCACGAAAATCACGTTAAAGCTGAAAACTGCTGCCAACACGTAATTCGCGAGGCTTTTAACATTCAAATAGAAAGTATTTATAGAAAGTCCATTTTATACATGATAGAAAGGTCAATGGGTCCTGCGTCAAACCACGAAAAGCAATGAAGCTGAAAGTTTGTGCAAACATATATTTTGGCTGACGCACAACTATGTGTAAAGATCAATCGGACTGTTCCAGTACCTTCTTGTGAATAGAATCGTGATTTTTTAGTACTTCTACACCCACCAACGATATGCATGTTTGTGGATCTTACGTTATAAGATTTGATAGGCCACAGACATTCCTGCATAAACCGTCAATGTAACCATTCCATTATTTCAGTTTAAGCGGAGTCAAAAGTTGTGGGGACAGAACGTAATTGATGGTGGCACAGCTCTAGCTTACATTCCACGGATAAAGTTTAAAGGTGGTGCAGGTTGTCGATATTGTAGGTGGACATGTCACGGTGTATAGGTCTTGTTAAAGAGATCGATATATATAGTAATGTGCTAGACTGCCTTGTATTGATTTCTACAGGGAGGTCGTAACCCCGCACCATCCAGACTTTCCTGTCCATTAGGGTAGTCTGGTCTTGTGCATCAAAGCTTTCTATTTATCAGGAACTAGGAGCACGGTGTACAATTTACATCTGTCACCATCGTGTAATAAATCACGTTTACTGTATATAACAATAGAAGTTTATTGCAGATACATGCCCAAGGTCTAATTGCATGTATAAAAAGAAAAAAAAAAGAAAAGGAGTTATAGTTTGCACACACTCAGCAGTGGTCGCACCCGATTCCTTCTACTACAGTGTTCATAGAGATACACCTTATTCACAATGACTGATCAAAATAAGACTGCATTTCACGTTCACATTACTTTATTACGTGATATCCTCTTAATCTCGCAGAATTTACTGTAGGCACTTAGATGACAGTTGAATTATGGGCCTTCTTACTGTACAGAGTCTACTTGTTATACTCAGAGTTCATCTTCCATAGGTCGAACCAACTAAGCGAGCTACGTACACTAGATGGTAGATTTTCGCTTACTGTAGAGGATAACACACCTGTCTGTTTATTTCACGCGACGTTTTGTCTGTTGTCTCCTTACTCTGCCACGAAAATATCTGAAGATGTCAGTTTTAAGTTTTTTTTCTGTCTGTAGTTATAACAGTGTCCTGCCTTCAGACGCTCATGTTTATTTCTCTGTGTATGTTGTGTGACCTCCATATGTGTAACTCGGTCATACTGCAGTGTCCTAGTTTGAAGTATTTGCTCCACATCCCCGGCGCCGCCGAAACTACATCCATATTAGGGCTACAACTCTGCAAACCGCTGCTGACAAATCGCTCCATTCCGGGCGGGCATCAAAAGGATTACAGGATGACAGTCTCCCTGTACGTCAGCGCGGCGGGCCTTCAGATCTCTGCTATAGTAAATTAAGAATAGAACGAGACAGAACTGTTTTCCAGGAACCCAATTAAGTACCTCAGGTCGTAGGAATAGAGGTGTATACTGCTAAGTGTGCCTTTAGATCGTGACTGCTCGATAATGTAATATAATCATACATTGCACGTAATGGTCCATTTGGCGCCATCATTTCCTACTACGTAAAGAACATGACCTCCAGACTTCAAAGGCCAGTTTCAGCCATTTACTTGAGGAATCATCCGTTCACAAAGCAACGATTTTTCAGTTGTGGAGGAGAACAATGTTCTTATATCGAGTTGGTTTGTTCCGCCTCGGCGGCTTCCTTCTAGCCTGTTGTCCATATCTTGGGCTGTTCTGCGGACGGCCCCACATGAAGAGCGGGGGCCGCATCAGTATTCACCCCGTCTCTGTGGTCACAGCCGCTCACAATGACCCGGTGATACCCTGCCGGATAGTTACGAGTCTCATGAATGTCTTCATTACCTGCACACTATATGAGCAGTGGAGAGGAGCTTGGCCAATTATCTCCTCCCACGTGATTAGCATGGCGATCCCCCGGCTCCAGGCGCCCTGCAGGGGTACAGAGATACCGCCTTAATAGATAAGACCCAGGGTAGTGCCGGGAGGGCGTCTGTCCCGACGGAATATGAGATTATTTCATAAAAATGTAGGATAGGTTTGATAAACTGTATCGATCAAGTTTTACTAGGGCACGAGAAGGAACTTTCTTTCAGAAGAGATTTAAGGATTCTTCTTAACGAGCACTGAGACGAATTGTGAGAATGCATGTACATGTAACGCAGAGATCATTATCCTAAGCTATACTACCCTGTTAGTTGCTGTGAAATATTTCTACAGGGTTGTGTTGTCCTCAAATGCACCCTTTCCATTGCCATAAACGGCACTTTGTGTATATATGTACGTCCAATCTCTGATATTGCATGCTGGAGACGTGGATAAGTGACACTGCATTCTGTAAGAAGTAACTACGTACTAGGAAGGAAATGTCACTACTGTTATGATTCTTAGCGACATAACTGGCGAGAGATCATCTTGTGTGCTTCACTGCTACGTCAATCACATACTCATAATGACTGGGCTATCACAGGCACTGACGGAAGATTTGTACAAGAGATTCCTGTCTGTAGTGTCCTCTTTGTTTAACATTATGTATGAAGAATTGTTTGACATCCTTGTAGCCAAGATTCAACTCTAACACATCCGTCTAAGTGTCACCAACTGTACATGATTACAAGATCTAACACTTGCATTTTCTGCCCACGAAAATACATGATATACCTCTCTTCCCAAAGCACGCTAATTAATGATTACGACAATCGTATTTTTCCATGCATGTTGGAAACATAATTTGGCAGGAATGGTAAGACCTTCAGTAGACCATGGGACACTTCACTCGCCCAGGCACGTCAGAACCACCCGGTCCCTCCACGCCAGATGTTTCTGCTAAGTGCTGGAATGGTGACAACATTTACCGTGCCTGTAAGTGGAAATATTACTGAGTTATAGAACAAATTAATCATAGTTATTAATCTATAACAACTTCCCCTTCCACGTCCACTTCTTGTAGTATTCTTGTGTGTATTCAACGACACACTGGCGATAACTTCTGCATTTTGCTACCCTATATATAAATATCGATCTGAATAGATGAGTATAATCGACGTCTATATTAATATTTCATATTCCTGACATTGTGACAAATGTGTACACGTACTCTTAAAATCAAAATATATTTGTAGGTAGACATCAAATAAAGTCACAAAACAACAATAAGTGGTGAATATAGCAGACTTTCTTCAGTGTCTTTAAAAAAAGTGGCATAGCACACAACAGAACATGATGCCGAAGAAAAATGTACAGGACTAAGATGATTAACCACTCGTGATGAGGAATTGTAAGGGATAACAGTAATTGTCATGTCTGTAGTATTGACGTAGTGATTGAGTATTCACATATCGTCTTCGCTAAGAAAACATGTATGTGAGTCATGATTATCAATTGCCAAATTGTTCGTGGATCTTTTACCACACACAAAGACCACAGTCCGGTAATGCAGTTTGTGCCCTAATCAATATTTAGGATTTAGTTATAATGCACTAAGGTACTTACACAAAAAAAATCAATGACCATAGGTAATCCTAAGTAGTATTTTTAGGATGTCCCCAAAGTCCTCAGCCACCCTTCCATACCACCTTAATCACCACCTTGAACACCACTAAGTCTAACGAATGGCTTGATAAGAGCGTCTTTGGTGACGATCGGTTCGCACGCAAGGACGTGGGCGGACAAATCCACCGATCAGTAGGACATGCGAGCGTTAGTTTCTGTTGGGCCTGTCCGTGGTGCTAGTTTGGTTATTGTCTGTATTGTAAATGACCACAAGAGCGAAAAGCTATATCAGCGTTAGAATAAGAGAATATACTGTTCCCTTGTATTGAAGTCGAGAATGGTGTTACCAGTGAGCTCTCAACGGTGGTTAGATTATGTTAACTCGTGCACAGAATATAGACGGTGACAACAAATGATACACGTTTAACGGATATAAGGAACAGATTAGATAAGATGTCGTTAAGAGCAATCGTGAATTTGAGTACTAATGATAAGTTACCTATCCATCCATCACAAGTCTTCAAAATTCCTTATGTTAAGTCAGAGTAATATTGATTGACTCGGGCCCCCATCCTCCGACGTAAATGGTACATTCCCTAAGTATATTTTGGCGGGGACGGCACCGGTGGGCGCTCTGTGCCCGTAGTGTGGCGGTAGCTTCTTCAGCCT